TATGGGACGGACTGTTAGTGAATAGTATGGATTGGGTGAAGCAAAATGATGTCATTATCGGATTCTAGAAAGTCGTGGTTCTATATCTAGCAAAGAACTTTCCAGATCTGCAGAAGAAAGGAACGATCTACAACAGAGAATTCAGATTATCTTACATATCTTGGTGTTCAATTAAATGCCCGGTAAGCTCTTTCCCTTCCCTTCAACTTGCATTATTAGTTTCTTCTACTGCTCCAATTTCTTTCCCTATGTCCATGTGGTAACCACATAATAAACCATGGGAGGCCGAGGTCTTACAGTTCCCCTGCAGGAGGAGACATTCTGCCAAGATGCAGCCATGACCAGAGCCCACCTGTTTACTGACAGCCAGTCTGTAATCCGGGTAGCAGGGTCTCAGTCCTCCTTCCGGATAGGCATCTATAGCAGGTGTAGAATTCTGTAAGGTGCAACTTCTGGTCTTATAATCCATAGGACTACTGCACACGTAGAGGTGGAAAGAAAATGAGGTTGCAGACTCCCAAGGCAAGTGGTGTAGCCGCCACCTCTATCCGCGGCATAGAAAGGAGATGAATAGGACACAAAATACAAGATGAAAGCAAGCGACCTCGGTGTTGTGTTGTAGCAGTTGATTCTTTTCGGATGTTAGATACAAAAATGTAGAATAACAGGAGAAGGGGAAGAGAGTGTAGGATAAGATGGTGTTCTTCCTTAGGGGGAAGCAGCGTGACGATACACGTGGGTAGTATAACACAGGGCCGGACTGGAATGCTCATAGATAGAGAATCTAGCTTATTTCAACTGTTTGCAATAAGTTCCATGTTTCATAGGGCGAAGTAGTGGAAAGCAGGATACGCAGCTATGCCGCCAAGTATTAATTTAACCAAGGCACCCTCTAGAGGAATTCGCGTAACGGCTTACGTAGAACAGGATGATATTAGTCTATATATCCAACTGACAAGCTAGCATAACTAGCACCTTATATCGCGGTTTCGATTATGTATAGGCATGAGAGTTGGATTGCGGGGAGCTGCACCGGCAAAACACATCAAGCGGGAAAGCACTTTTCCGGGCCTTCAGCACCGCTTACCCGGTACAATATGTAAGGCATATCGCCTTTCAAAGAGTACCTTCAAAGCCACAAGCATATTACTATCTACCGCCATATGCATCTAGATCCACCGTCCCGTTCAGGGACTACATTTACTCCGTTCGTGGTGAGTGACTGTGCGCCGTCGCCGTGAAATTCCGAGGCCGGGCAGGCGAGAATTTGATCTCAAGGCTGGGAAAGAAATGGGTAGGAGTGGGTTTTCTATAGTTTGGGAGGTTGGAAGTGGAGGGGGGGAGGATGAGTGTTCCGGATCTAGAGAGGTGGAGTTATGATGAGGCTGAAAGGTGTGGAGTGAAAAGTTGAAGGTGGAGGAGTATGAGGTCGATGAGCAAGTGCGGCTTAATTCCCCGTTGAGGCAATTTGTGAATGTATTGAGTGGGATAGAGTGAGGCGGTAGTAGAGGTTCGATTAGTCCAATGGAATGGGAATACCCTTTCGACTATATGTTGGTGCATGTGAATGAATGCCATTGTTTATCGCGCAATGAGGCTGTAGCGGAGCTAAGTGAGAATGGAATCATGGAATGATATGCGTCGGGTCGGTCCGTCATGTTTGCGCCACTATATGATCTCCAAAAATCCAAAGATTTGCAACCCAAGCCCTAACGGGACATGGATAACCCGTCACCAGTTAGGAAGGAAAACAGGCTGGCGCTAGGCAGAACGGACCAGGGATCTCTGCCTGTCGCCGACCGCTAGTTTCGTCGAGGACCATTGGCCATTCAAGTTACTCCCGGGTTGTTGTCTAGGCTCTGCGCGATCGCATCCAGACCAGTGAATACTGCAGACCCATTAGGCAGACATGCATGTCAACCGCGTCCCACGTTGCTTGCTGCATCCCACAGCCTCCCTGCGTTGAAGATCCATAGAGGCTCTGCTCTGCTGTGGTCCACTCGTTCAACATCTATTTATTTATTTATTTATTTATTTTATTTTATTTTTTTTTTTTCACTACTCATTATTGAATCTGTAGAGTTGGTGGTCATGTAGTAGACAAACTGATGTCATCTGTCCCCCAGGGGAATCCTCTTGACCTCGTCCCTGGTGCCCGGCTGACTGATTTCTTTGCTTGCCCTGTGACCGACCCGAGCAGCCACACTCCATCGCCACACTGCCTCTGCATCTGCCTCTACATTCACCACGCACACAACATCCTGGGCTGTTGGTAAGGCTGGAGAAAGCTCCAGCCGTGACACCTTGCTCACGCCAACCGCAACAGACACCCCCCTCGCAGCTGAGCCACACAGTTGGTTCGATGAGAGTAGCGAAAAGCAGCTATGCCCCGGCTGATCCTGACGTGCGGTCATTGTTGCTGCGATTTGCAATATCATTTAACTTTATAAGAGTTCCACCGAGTCGCAGCTCCCACCCGACCTGAATCTTCATCATCAGGAACGATCATCTTCTTGATGGGATCGTTTGCTATTTTAATTCTGCCCTTCCCTTCCTTTGTTTTGTGATTTCCTCCTTTCCGTCTGTCCTCTTTACCTGTGGACACACGCGCACTTCACTCGTATTCACCTTCCCCTTCCCTTTCCCATCCTTCCCCCCTCCTTCACTTATCAGGCGCAGTGAACCCATGACTTCACCCACATGTCTTGGATCCATGACATCGTCGCAACGCGCTGTTTACTACAAATCTCTCAAATGAAAACAGTACCTTCGTCTGCTTTTGCGCGCTGCCACAATGTGCCCTGTCCATCTATAGTAGTGAGCTCTACGGACCCTACCGCGCGGAAGCGGCTGTTGCCATACGTCTACGTCTACGCCTCATACCACCTACTACCGCAGATTCCGTGCCTGATCCAGCATCGCAGCGCAAGATAGGGCATGTGTATTGTCGAAGAATATACCGCCTCGTACCCTGACGTCCGACGAAGGCGGGTCCTTCAGCGGTGCCTCCTGGGGAGATCGTTAGGGTACTGTTATCGCACCCAGGTGGTCAGCCCTGGCGAGCGCATCCCTGAGCGCCCGGCCAATCAGTTTCAGTACAGGAAACCCAGAAGTACAACTTATCGACCGGCCATGCAGTCACTGCGCGATCTGATCGTCGATCCACGGGAGCCGACACGGCGGAGACAGTCCCCAAACTATCCACGACGGATGCCCGCGCGACGAAGTGATCCTTTCCGAGTTTTCTTTCCGTTCCTTCGACGAGCATCTGACAGCGATGATGTGTGGAAGGACGACGAATATCGGCCGCGAGGTCGGGGACGGTCGCCTCGGCCGGTCAGTATGGCACGGGATGTACCGCCCATCAAACGTGAACCCTGGAGCGTTCCAAGAAGACGGCCTCTAAGCTCAAAAGTCAGGGTGGTCACCCCACCACCAGAGCCTCTATACAAGGAGGAACCACTGCGACCACGGCCCGGAAGGTCACCTGCTTCGCCTTCTCTTTCACCCCGGGATCCAGGTACCTTCCGTCGCCCAGTCATCATTCATCAGGAGCCAAAGCCACGACCAAGCCCAGTCCCTTCTTCAGGCTCATCTGGATATCGATTCAGGAATCCATGGCACAGTAGATCCCCATCTCCAGGACCCTCCAACTGGCGTCGCAAGGAGCCACGACCAAGTCCATCAGTATCCCCAGGACCAGCAAAACCTCAGGAGCCACAGCCGCAACCATCTCCAGAAGGTGCACCAAGTACTAATGCTCCAGCAGCACCTGTCACCCCTCCTAAAAAGAAAGAGCGACGCCCCAGGGAGCGATCCCCATCTGTCGAGCGTGTCCCAATTCGCAAAACACGTTCCACCCCAACCGTTCCGGTGGAGGTGCACAACCCCCCAGCTCCAGACAGCGGCCCCAAACCAGTTACAACGTCAAACACCACATCCCCAGGGAGTGGACCCCGCCATGTGCAGTTTTCTGACATAGTGGATCATCTCTCTATATCCGGAGAGAGCAATGCTCCCTCGTCTCCTACCGGCCCTCCGCGCTTCTATAGACAATTTGCCAACGCAAGTCGTCGTAGGTCCCCAACTCCTGGGCCTACTCCCAGAGTAAGAGAAGGACGAGGTGATACAGGCTCCCAAAGAACCCGATATGTGTATGCGTCTCCTGCTGCGAGTCGTTCATATCCCCCGGGCGTTGAGGTGCTGATTGTGACTCCGCGCAGGTATCGACCAGAAGGAATCACCCCACCAGTGAGCCGGGAAGCCGTTGACATTCACGAAGTTGAACCCGGGGGAAGCAGTTCATGGTCTGGACGGGCTGCTAGGGTGGGTTTAGAGGGGAGCGGTTGGCGGGTGGAACGTCGGCCCAGACGTGGGATGGGGAGGGAGGTGCTGGGAACAGGCGTAAGGCCGAGGATCGTATCACTATCACCGCCGAGAGGGCGATGGAGACCCAGAATGCGCCAGACTGAGCGGTATGGGGGGTTCGATTCGGGCGATGAACGGGTGGTTAGGAAAGTGGGCGGTTCGGGGCGTGTCTGGAGGTGGCTGTAAGAATTAGGGTCATGGTGGAAGTTTGTAAGATGTTGTTAGTAGTGGACACTTTTCGGGCTATTCCTTATGTTGACCATGTTTATTGTCTTGATAAGAAAAGAAGAACGTTATTTATTGTTTGAGAACACTATAAGGATAGAAAATGCTATATGTCGTTTAACTGAGAGATGAAGCAAGGAGCAAGTAAAATGTAGGCTGGGGACAGTTCCCCACATGACTATCACCACGTGACCTTAAGGGGACCTCGGCAGCGGTTAGCGGCGGGCCGGCGGGCGGAGAAGAGGAGAAGCAACAAGCATGCATGTGCATCTCATCCCATCTCTCATCACTCTCCTGTACTACTTCAAATCTACCTGCTGCTTGCTTCTTCCCACTATCTCATTGTCATCGCTACCTTATTCAAGCCTAGTTATTTCCCACTTTCTCTCCTACTACTGATACCCACAATGCTTGCCTCCCGTCTAACCCCGCGAACCATCCCCGCACGCCAATGGCGTCGACACTTCAGCGCCGCCCGACCGGCTCTGAAGGAGATCCAAGATGCCTACATTCTCAGTGCGGCGCGCACTCCAACCGCCAAGGCATGATATTCTGCACCCAACGTTTACAGCCATACTAATCGGAATACAGTTCAACGGCTCCTTCGTCTCTGTCCCGGCTCCCCAACTCGGTGCCGTGGCCATCAAATCCGCAGTCAGCAAATCCAACCTCCCTGTCGAGAAGATCACAGACGTATACATGGGCAATGTTCTTCAAGGCTCTGTGGGTCAAGCACCCGCGCGCCAAGCCTCCATCTTCGCTGGCCTCGCCCCCACCGTTGAAGCCCTGACCGTGAACAAAGTATGCGCATCAGGCCTGAAGGCCGTCGCTCTGGCGGCTCAGAACATCCAGCTCGGACTAGCGGAGGCACAAGTTGCCGGTGGTATGGAGAACATGTCGCGTGTGCCGTACTACATGGCACGGTCTAGTCAGCTGCCTCCTTTTGGGGAAATTAAGCTTGAAGATGGCCTAATCAAGGACGGGCTGTGGGACGTGTACAACCAAATTCATATGGGGATCTGCGCGGAGCAGACGGCAAAGAAGTATGAGGTGTCACGGGAAGAGCAGGATGATTA